TGAGAGGAAATGTCGGGTCATCGGCATTCGCAAGAATTGCGGACGTATAATGGCCGATCGCAGCTGGGTAATCACCCGTCTTGAAGGCTGTATTGCCCTGTAAAGCGGAAGCCGTAAGAGGATAACGCCTGAAACGAGTAATGTTGACGACAACTTACCTGATCTTTCGCTATTTTCGCTCTATCTGATGCCATAGGATTTGGCGTCAAAGGTGCTGCTGGCAGTGAAGATTCCGGTGAAAAGCCGTGGTAAGTCAGCTAACGTAAAGCTAAGAGTAATGATATAAGTACAAATCGAGTCAGGTTTTACGAAATGTAATATCCCTCATAGTCCCCAGTGTACGGCGCCACGCGATCAGCGCCAGCCCGAGTATTGAAGGCGAGCTAAGGTATGTATATGATACAGTATTCGCTATTTTCACAAGACAGCTTTCATTATTTTGTCTGTTCAACAGCTTCCAATAGACCCAATTCATTTTTTGACTTAAGGAGCATTGGCAGTGTCGGCACTTGAGCGGGACATCTGTCTTATAATGGCAAATGTATCGCTACCTCGGGCCAGCGGTGCCAGCACAACAGTAGTTCCCCATCGTACGTTTACTCCACCATGTCACTCTCGAATAATTCTGACATTCCACACGATGGACAAGCGTCCGTTAGCCGTCCCATCAACTCAACTGCGCCGCTTCCTCGTTTGCTACACTCCCTTGGAGATGAAAACAAATCTGTTCTCAGTTTAATGGCAAATGGGGACCATATCTTTACTGGTGGACAAGGTCAAGATATTGCGGTGTGTGCCAGGGCTTACTGATCAAGTCATTATTCTAATGGCCATGCTATCCTAGGTCTGGGACAGACACAAGTTTACGCTCAAGACTTCCCTTCGTGGTCATACCGGAAGCATACTGGCCCTTGAGCATGCGGAGGAGAAAGGCTGGCTTTTTAGTGCTTCAGGTAGGTCTTCTCCGAATGCTTTCATTTATCGTCCTCTTAGCATCATGACTAGGTGACAGTACTGTCAGAGTATGTCTATCTCCTTTGATAAGTCGGCTTCCACTGACGGAAGTCAGGTATGGTCCACAGTAACCTTTCTTCCAGTCTACATCCTGAATCCATACCTTGAAACGGGAGCAGGCGATTTATTCTCTCTCGCTTGGAACCCCGCAATGCAGATCATCTACATTGGTTGTCAGAACACTTCACTTCAATGGCAAGGGTTCTGTAAGTTTCAGCTTGACCGACACGTGGAAGAGCAATGGGGTTCAGGCACATCAACTCCAACTCGTAAAGTCCACAAATTCTTCGATAGTTATCCACAATACACCCATCGCCCTGCGGATCTTCAAGCCAACAACTTCAGCTTGTCTTCCTCAATCAGTCAAGGCGCATTCGTTGGGACCAACGCTTTGATAAATATCTCAGCAGCAAATGTCATCGACTCTGCTCATTTTGGCTACATATATTGCATGGCTCTTTTGCCTTCGACAAGGGAAGGCACAGGATACCTTGCACAACAGCCGGCGCAGAATTATTACCTCGTCACTGGAAGTGGGGATGAAACCGTCAAGGTTTGTCTCATCTCAAGTTAAGGGATGCCTCAGCCGACTTCCTACTGTTGGTAGATTTGGCACTGCAACCCATCCGGTCTCAACATGATGCACTCTTTCGACTGTCAGCATGGTGCTGTGCTTTCGATCGTCGCTTCCGGGGAGACAATATATGCTGGATGCCAAGATGGGCACGTGAAGGTGCTTGACTTCGAAACACGGACTCTTGTTAGATCGATCATTGTTCAAGAAGTAGGCGCATCCATGTATATTTTAGTGTGGAACCTCATATTTGTATACCAGAATGTCGACGTCCTTTCGCTATCGATCATGCAGTCTGATCTTTACACATGCTCTGCCAATGGCCACATTCATGTAGGCGTGGAAGTTACTTTTTTTGTCGCCACCTGAATCACCTTTGTACCTGACAGAGATGGTCTTCTTCGTTTGATTGCACAGCGTCGTGGGAAGCTCACGACGGTATTGTGCTCTCCTCTGTTGTCTCCTGTTCCTCTGATCGCAAGTCGTTTTGTCTCATTACTGGGGCGAACGATGGTTTCGTTAAGGTGTTGTGTCGTAGTGTTTGTTGATGACTTATGAATACTGACAACCTGCAGGTTTGGGCAATTACTCCAGAAGCCGAGGACAACCTTTCCCAGTTGCACGAGACCAGCGTGTTGATATCCGATTCGGATGTTACCCAAGGCATGTCATGTTGCGATCCTATGCCCCTCAATCACTCAATTTTATAGGAGATACAATGACTTACGCACTCTCCAAGTTCGTGTCAATACCGAGTGTAAGCAGCGACCCGAATCATAGAGAAGACTGTCGTCAAGCCGCAATTTGGCTGAAGAAGGGCTTGAATCAGCTAGGTGCTCAGTCAACTCTGGTAAATTGACTCGTTTCGTCCCAGCATTTTTTGCTCATGTACAGCATCTCAGCTACCTACGCGTGAAGCTGGAAGTCCCCTTGTTCTAGGGACTTTTCATGGAACTGAAGGGAAACACCCAAAACCAAGAATCCTATTTTACGGGTACTACATCTGTTTCATAAGTCTTATGCCCCCTCATGATTTAAACAACAGGCACTACGACGTCATTTCTGCTCCTCCGGATGGGTGGGATACTGATCCCTTCATTGTGACAGGCCGTAACGGTTATCTGTATGGACGAGGGGTGACGGATAATAAGGGCCCTATTATGGCTGTGGCTTGCGCTGCTGCCGAACTTCTTCAAGACCGCGCTCTTGGCATTGATCTTGTTTTTCTTATCGAGGGTGAGGAGGAGACTGGGAGTGTTGGATTTGTTGATGCAATAAAAGAACACAAAGTGGGATCGCGTCATGTTACGCTCACACGACCACGCTCATTTCCGTTATTTTTCAGCACCTGATCGGGAACATAGATGCCATCTTACTCAGGTATGTTGGTATCGATCATCTCCTTTTCTTTTTATTCATTTACGGTAGTAACTCAACTTGGATTTCTGAACATCATCCTTGTATTACATATGGTCTTCGCGGTGTCGTACACTCAACAGTGGAGGTACGAATTTTCGCTATTACGGTACCTCAAGCTGACATGTAGTGCAGATAACAAGTGGTGTACCGGACTTGCACTCTGGTGTCGAAGGAGGTGCTGCCCCGGAGCCAATGTTTGATATGTAGGTTAAAGAAGCCCCAATGGTGAGATCCACACTCACGTTAATCTCAGGATTCGCCTTCTCGGAACTCTGATGGATGATGAGGGAAAGGTGGCTATACCAAATTTTTGTTCGTCACATCCACTGCGCATCGATTTTGGTTGGCCAGGCTGATATGACGTTTACAGACAACCCTGTTCGCCATCAGACCGAGGCCGAAAAGCAATTGTACGATATTTTGTCCAATGTGACCCAAACGCCTGGCTCTGTGCTATCTTCGCGATGGAGTGAGCCGTCCTTGACTGTACATGATATAGACGTATCTGGACCTAGGAGTAAGCCAGGCATTCCACTCTTACTTGAATGTTACTCATCATGCCAAGACTCAACTGTAATCCCGGGAAAGGTCACTGCGAAGGTGTCCCTCCGCATTGTTCCAGATCAGGATTTGCAAACCATTGCTCAGTCTTTGGTTAATCACCTTAGAGGGACCTTCGACAGATCCCAATCGCCTAACCAGCTTTCTGTGTGTAATATATGATGTTCATGATTCTACAGCTCACAATATCTCGTAGGTGAGCATTGACCGCACGGCCGATTGGTGGCTCGGCAATTTGGATGGCCCCTGGTTCAAAGCACTCAAGGCTGCTGTGCACGACGAATGGAATGTAGAACCATTACTCATTCGAGAGGGTGGCGTGAGTGATTTGCGTGGATCAGGCTTCCTCTTGCTCACTGCTTATGAAGTCCATCCCATCGATTCCTTATCTAGAGAAAGAATTTGGCTGCCCAGCACTTCACCTCCCACTAGGACAAAGCACCGTGCGTCCAGTCTTGACTGTTTTATTTCTTGAAGCTGATTACCAGCAATCAAGGACCAAGCTCATTTGCCTAATGAACGCATTTCCCTGGATAATTTATCTAGGGGAAAGTCGGTCATAAAGCGTTTCTTATCGATAGCTACAAATTTTCACGCCCCGACCGGGTGAAAAATGCTTGGTCTTGATATGCACGTACGTCTTGCGCTCTCTATTATAATTTCTTTTTTGTTTGAAATTATACAAGAGGATATTGTAGACAGTTAATTACCGTAGGCTCTATTTGCAACCACATAGAAATAAGAGTTATTGTGCAACATGCTGACACCTCGTAAGAACTTCTCATACATTCGTTCCGAACTTATCAGTCATTCGCTTGACCACAGGCTATTCAACTGAGTTGTACGTGCATGTATGACGTTCATCCTGATATTCGTAGGCTCCAGCTGGGTTCCAGATTAGCCCGGCTTACTATGGTCCAGTGGCGTAGCTATATTGTGACACAGGGTGATGTGCACAGTTCAGTCGAAAATTAAACGAAATTAATTCGACGAAGAAAGAGAAGAGAAGTCACAGACCATAACAAAAACAGTTGATTGGTAGTAGTTACGATAACAGAACATGTATCTAGACCTACTAGTATGAAATAATGAAATTGAACGAGCCTGATGAATACACAAGTCGGAGTTTGTGCACGCTGGAATGAAGATCATGCATTGGTGCCAAGATTGGCAGCACGGGACATTCCGGTTGGGTTTCGAACTCAGAGTCACATGCACAGCTCGGTGAGATCACGAGTCTAGACGTCTATGTTCCAGCAACATCAAGTGACCCCCGGTGAGAGTCATGAGGTGTTCTAGCCTATATATTATTCCTATAGTTTTCGGCACATACTAAGCCACAAACAATCATTATCAGTTTCCATCAATCCAATCAGCCTGACCACAGCGTAATCTGTCCAACTGTGCAGTGATCAAATCCAACAAGACTCCCATGACTTCTGTGACTTCACAACGTGCTGTGCGGTGGCACCCGCCCTCTTATGATATTCGTATCGAAACCCTTCCCATTCCAAAGTGTGTTGATCTCTCGCTTGTGGCATCATAAGATCGCACTCAGTTGCATTTTGTTCCAAGGATTGAGCACCCAGATGATGCGATAGTAAAGATTCAGGTTCGCAGATGTGCAGCAGACTTCATCAGCTCTTGAGTTTTAATGCACGCACCCAAAGCTTGCTGGGCTGTGTGGTAGTGATTTACATATGTACCGTGGAACAGCGAGGCTCACGGAACCGTAAATAAATCCAATCATTATCAGTGTGCCTTCTGAACTCAATAGACATATTTTGTTGGCAGTTGCATCATGGGCCACGAGTTCATCGGTGAAATTGTTGCCCTCGGTGCGAGTTTTCATCCCAGCTCTACAGGTCGCCCGCGCTTGTATTCCACACTTCATATCGGCGATAAAATTGTCTCGCCGTTTACTGTCTCTTGTGGAGAGTGCCAGTACGTCAGTTTTGTTTCGCCAGCCTCAACTAGTATTCACATGTGCTGCAGTTTTTGCAGAGTAGGATTTACGTGCCGTTGCGTCGAGTCCCGCCTATTTGGCACTCCTCTGACTCCAGGAGGACAAGCTCAATATGTTCGAGTTCCTCGGGCCGGAGGCACCCTGTACAGTCTGCAGGACATTCCTGATGGATCCTCACTTGCCGACTCCTCTTTGCTGTTACTGTGCGATATTCTTCCGACTGGAGTATTTGCCGCATTTCAGGCACTCAGTCACGCCAAAACCTTACCCTTTACAACCAGACAACCTTATCCGCTTAGTGCGAGTCCGCCGCAGATTGGAGATGCTTCATTTTTACCCTTCTTGGAAGAAGATAGGGCTTGGCCCCGTGGGGGTGGTGAGTTCATTGTGCTTACCCAACATCCTGTTTTAATATGGTCGTCGTGCCCTCACTAGTGCGCGTGTATCGCTCTCCTTGACATGCTCGTCACGCGAAAGCTGAAGTTCAATGTGATAGCCATTGACCCGAACGAAGCCAGGAGGGCAAAAATGGCATCAATATACTCAACTATCGGCGGCAACTACCAGTTTGGTGAATTTCAAGTAGTTGACACCAACAATGTCAAAGAACTTGTTGCAAATTTGACCAAGGGATTTGGTTGCAACGCTGTTCTAGAAGTGAGCTCCATGCAACCTGCTGTAGACCTTGACTCAAATCATCACTCGAAGGTTGTTGGTAATACCAGTGCGCTTCGGCTAGCTTACGAACTTGTACGGCCGTTTGGCTGTATCAATTCTGTTGGGGTTCACAGTGATCATACTGTCCCGTATAAAGGGGTTGAGCTTTATGACAAGAATGTATCACTTGATTTTGGTCGGTGTCCAGTGCGTGCTATGTTCCCAATGGCACTGGAACTACTCCTGAAAAGGCAGGATGTACTGGGATCGGTAGGTGGGGAAACGAGCTTGGTGGAGAAAATAGCGAGTTTAGATGATGCAGTGCAGATATATGACGACTTTGACAAAGGGAAATGCGGGAAGGTTTTATTCGCTCCATTCAAGTAGCATATACGAGCCAGGAGCTGTCCGGCGTTGCCTTACGAATTGCACAAGACACATTGGGCATTGGAAATCAAAATGGCTCTTTCTCTATCAATGAAATAAGTGATACCTCTAAGGGAGGCGACACTGATATCCAACACTGCTTACTTTGCTCAAGTCATAGGCACATACCAGTGCGCTCCTACATATCTCCAAACGATCAAAAACTGGATGCAGCTGGAGAGGTGAAATCGAACGCTGAGCTGAAAATTCTGACAGGGCCTCATCTCTAGTACAGGATAGTTGCGAAAACACGAGAAGCGAAGAAATATTATACAGCGTATGGTAAGAGAACACTTTGTTTGCCGTTTGGGCGACGCAGAGCTATGTGAATAATTATTGAGCTTGGGCCTCCTAAAAAAATACTGGTTACAATCCGACAAGTAGAAAACAAAGGACAAACCTGGTCCACGAACTCCATGGCCTCCTCTCGCTTGATGCTTCTGATAGAACTGACTTTCTGGTTGTTGAAGAGCACACCGTAAAACTTGTCCGCAGTGACCAACATTTCTGGCCTGAAAGTAGTCGTGATGAACTGAGCTGAATGTGAAAGAGATTTGATCATATCTGGACAGGGATCAGCATCGATTTGTGATGTGCCACAGGGCACTTACTTGCGACAGCAGTTCGATACTGCGCGTCCAAATTTGCGTCGATCTACGCGAAACAACGTAAACTAGCAGCATATCCAGTGTAATTGTTTCAACGCACCTCATCAAATAAGTAGAAAGGAGCGGGATCACATTTCTGGATGGCGAAAACTGGAAGGAAAAGCTCAAAAACATGGTTGTCTCTAACAGAAATACAGTTACCTGTTGCGAGTGCGACGAGGGATTTTTGACCCCCTGATAGCTGCTGTATCCGAAGTCCTTCATCGACCTTGGAGTTGAAGGATACCTATCATACTATACATTAAGTAGAAATAGCACAGCAGTCGTAAAACAATTGCCTTTATCGATATGCCAGTGTAATTGTCAATGCTACTTTGCTGTGTATCATCCCCTTCGTCCATGGCTTCATCTTCATCCTGTAGCAGATTAAGCAAAGTTATTTGATGCATCATTGTCCTATTTACCTGGTCTATCCGACGCTGAATGATCAACCGCCCACGGCCGGCAGGAACGAGTTTGTCGAAGACCTCTTCAAAATTGCTGGCAACTTGTTTGAATGTCCGCTCGATCGCTTCATCCTTTCGCTGGTCCAGTACTTGTACTAACTCCTCGATCGACGTGGCCGACTTGTCTAGATCTTCCCTGCGCTGCAGGAGTTGGTCTCGCTGTTTTGTGAAAGAATTATACTGTTCAAAAGCCTTTTTGTTCACATGCGCGAACTTCTTCAGCCCTTCGTTGACAGTGTGCAGCTTCTTCACCAGCTAAGTGGTTGGACTATTAGTATACAGAGTTCGGAGATGAACAGCTGGTAAACCCGTACTCGATCAAGTTTTTCGTTGGTATACTTCTCAAAAGCTTCCTCTGGAAGTACGCCTAGATCTCGGATATTGCGGTTGCACTCCTCCTTACGACCGACAAGCATCTGTTTCTTAGCTAGGTACCGCTCAGTATTTTTCTGCAGTTTCGTGACACTGCGACTGTCCTCCGATTGTTGATTCTGGGCCTTCTCCAAGTTGGATCGAAGTTCCTGTAGGTCAGCCGTCAATTTATCAAAATCCTTTTCTGCCTCTGTGAGAATATATTTGGTATACGCGGACACGATGAACTAGTCAGGAGCGAACCTTGTGCGCGCTTTGTCGAAGTGGATATAGAAGCATCGAGGGACTTGAGTTCACGCAATCGCGCATCCAGATTATCGGCAGATGACACTTCTCCATTCGCCGAGTCACCCAATGACTGCAATGTTGCCTGCAGCTCCTTCTCTTTCCGCCGGAGGCTTTCATTAAGCTCGATTTCCAAGAGGTTTTTACGGCTATCAAGCTATGCGTGATATTAGTTGTGTGGTTCAGAATGGAGTTTGCTAGTGCACCTACTTCTATTCTCGATTTGCTCAGCTCGAGCACTCGCTTGCGCCTTTCATCCACCTGTTGACCAAGAGTATCGATCAAATTGGCTTCGTCATCTGTCAGTGCCCGTGTAAGGGGGCTCGCAAGCTCAGTGCGGTACCCCTGTAGCCGCTGTACAATGCCGCTCAGTTCCGTCTCTAATTCATCCGCTTCATTTTCCAGAGCTACAACACCTTCGCTCAATCTCTCGCGCTCCCTTGAGAATGATAGTGAGTCCGAAAGGAGGACCTCGCGTGCTTCCTTTGCTTGCGCCTGCTGAACGCTAAGGACTTGGATCTTCCCTGTCACCTTCGTGATCTCCTGCTCAAGCGTGGTGATGGCAGCTTTAACTTCTTTGGCACGCTTATCTTCCGCCTCAAACTTGGAGCGCCATGTCGCTACATTCTTAACGGCTTCAATACGCGAGCGGCGCACGTCGTGGTAACCACCTGTAAGAGCACCCTTACGATCAACCTTATCACCGTCCAGCGTGATGGTGTTAACACCATGACTCTTGACATACGCAGCAGCAACCGTAAGGTCGCGGCACACCCAAGTCTTGCCAAACACCTGCTGGAATGCCTTGTCATGCGCAGAATCATACGAGAGCTTCTCGAGGAGAGGAAGGGCGTCTTGATTTGGAGGGATAGTTGGCTGTTTGGGTTTGAGGCGATTGAGAGGCATGAAGGTTACACGGCCGTTCTTTTCTCGTAGCATGATGTCGAGGACCTTCTGTGCAGTTGCATCGGTATCGACTACGACGTGGAAGAGACTTGTCAGGCGTAAGCATAAGTAGAGATTGATGCAAACGGGGTGGCGTACCTGTTCCCAGCGGTAAGTTCGATAGCGGTGCTAAATGTCGAGTCTGGTATCTCGAAAAGACGGTACAATGGACCATATACACCCTCCAGGTTGTGTCGCTCTGCAATCCTGTCAACGGCGCGGAGACCAGAGCCAGTGTCCTAAAAAAATAAACGAATATTCATCAATCGAGGGCGCGCATACTCACTTTGTCCATCATACCCGCAAGGTTGCGCTCAGCGGCCCTTAACTCGTCACCGGCATGCGCAAGTAGCCCATCCAACTTGGTGTCCTCACGCCACAACTCCTTCCTGCGCTCAATAAGTTCAGTCTGCTGCTCTTTGAGTGTTGTGACCTGCTCCCCAATGTCTTTCACACGGGTTCTACCATCTTCCAAGCTCCCCTGAATGTTATCGATTCTCCGCTCCATCTCAGCAACGTTCTGCATTTTCTGTGTGGCATCTTTGCGAGTGGAATCGAGCGCTGTAGAACGAGCCCGTTGATATACCTCCATACTCGCGATTTCCTGCTTGAGGTATGCATCGCGCTCTGCCTTGGTGCGGAAGCGGTTGACACGACCTTGCTTTGCAAAGAGCGCGTTAAGCTGAGTACGAGCCTCCTCCATCTTACGCTTTTCTGCACTTTCATTTGTGCGGGCCTTCTCCCATTGTGGAATCAATTCACGTAGTTCGTGCTCTTTGCCCTGCGTGGCTTCCTGTACGGACGCAAGCTCTTGTTTGAGTGCGCTATCGTCACGCTCGCCTGTTGCACGGAGATCGGCAACAATGCATTCGAGTTCTGTACGAGCGCGGATGAATTCATTGAGCTCGGAGTGTGCGTCTTTCCGTGATATTTGGAGAGACCGGAGAGAATGTTTCGCTTGCGAGATTTGTTGTTCTAGGCGCTATGGCTGTGTCAATAGCAGACTAGATGAGAGAGAAGGTTGGACAGACCTGTATCTCCTTCTCCCTGGTATCAAACTGCTCTCTCCTTACGTTGGCACCGTGTACTTCTCCTCGCCTCTCTTCATCGATCTCCTCCAAAGCTTCTCCAACCTCCTCCAACTCTCTCTGATACAGTGCATACTCGAGACACCGACGCTCCTTGTCCTTGTCCTGAAACTCGCGCAACTCTTCCTTCTCCTCCTCTAGCTCTGTAAGACGAGAGTCGATGTAGTCAATAAGTTCATTGATCTTTGTGCGTTTGGCATCGGTCTCGGCCATGATACGAAGAGATTCGGTACGACGTTGTTCGTAGACTTTGGTGCCAGCAACTTCTTTCAGTAGGGCAAGGCGCTCGTGGTCCTTTGCATTTGTAAGGGCAGTGATCTGGGAGATTCTGTTAGGAGAGTATGGGAGAGTTGGGTAGCACGTACTCGTCCTTGCGGAACGATGTAATATGGATTGGACTTTGAGAATCCTGCACTCTCGAGGAGATTCATGACATCAGCTTTGCTAGCGCTTTTCTTGTCGAGACTGTATTCATCCTTCTTGAGACCGATGGTACGTCTTAAAATGACTTCTTCACGACCAGTTGGAAATCGATTGTCAGAGTTGTCAAAAACAATTTCAACTGGTTGCAAGTATGAGAAAGGGTGATAGAGGGTTAAAAGTATAAAAAAAAGTACCGTATGCAGATAGTGTAGTCGTGACAGAAACACCTTCGTGCAGGAGAGCCTGCCGCTCCTCTCTGGACATAGAGGTGTATGCATCGGACAATACAAAGCGAATGGCTAGGGGGGTGTAGGAGTAAGATTGAGAGAAATATTTCAGAGGTACAACGGGCACCTGCAAAGAAATTGCTCTTGCCTGAGCCATTCCTACCTACGACGACATTATGACGAGGAGAGAAGGGCTCTATCTGTGTCTGATCACGGTCTGGTATAAACAGTGCGCAAAGTGAGATATCGCGGGATAAAGAATGGTCAAACTTACAAGACTTGAATCCCTGAATTGTCAAGGTCTTAATATACATCAAAGCTGGCGCGTACTCAACGCGTGCTGTATAGTAATAAGTATCTGGTAGACGCGTAGTGGCGCGTGTGACACGTGGTACAATTGCGTGTCACATATCACCTGACGCCGTGACACATGTGACTAAGTAATATACTCCGGGATATTCCGATTTCAACTGTATAGTAGTTCGGGGATTAGCGATTTACCTGATCATCGGCCTCCTAGTAGTACAGGCGACGGGCAGAATAACTCCAGAATCAATATGGCCCCTACTAATGTCAAGGCGAAGGCTGCCAAAAAGGCTGCTTTGCAGGGCGTGCACTCGCATTCAACACGGAAGCAGCGATACTCTGTAACATTCCACCGTCCCAAGACACTCCGCCTACCCAGGAATCCCAAGTACCCTCGCAAATCTATCCCCCATGCACCACGAATGGACCAGTTCCGAACCATCGTCTCGTGCGTTTTATGCTATATAACACAAATTAATTTTTGATCGTTTAATGACAGTCCACTGAACACGGAATCGGCGATGAAGAAGATCGAGGAGCACAACACCCTCGTCTTTATTGTTGACATAAAGTCGAATAAGCGACAAATCAAGGACGCCGTGAAAAAACTTTACGATGTCCAGGCTGCTAAAATCAACACCCTGATTCGGTTCGTCTCCGTGCAATGAGCTTTAAGATTACATACAACCTGATTACCCTTAGACCTGATGGGAAGAAAAAGGCATACGTTCGGCTCACGTCCGACCACGACGCGTTGGATGTTGCAAACAAGGTGATTCACTGCTAACATGTTGTTGATGTTGTTATTAACTATACTTTAGATCGGATTCATCTAAGTCTGTTGTTGCATTTTCTACCATTTCGTTGTGTATTGTCATACTACTCAATTATATGCACCTTGATGAATTTTCCACCTAGTTGTGATGTCGTTTCAAATCGTAGTCACAAAATCTGTTAAATTGCCAGTGCTACGTAGATGACCGTGGACTGCCTTTTTGGAAAGCTAAAAACGTTTCTGTAACTGAGATCATTTGTTGTTAGTTACCGTGTGATCGCGATTTGGTAGGAAGCCTGCGCCCGTGTGCGCTATTAGAACGTTTCTGTCTTGTTCCTCCCCTCGTTTTTGGTTTCAAATTTTGCTGCTCCTGTGACGCTGCCGGCGACGTCTTGTCAATTATCGGCCAACTGGCTTCCAGGATTCAAGAATCTTCGTGTTTCAAAATATCTTAGAACCTACTTTTCACTCTCTTAGAGAGAGCAGAAACGCACACTCGTTCTATCCCTAGCGGACCCAAAGTCGCGCTGTCCTTGCTATCCAGCAATATTCTATCACCTCTATGTATTCTGTTATCTATTTTTTCCTTGCAACTGTGGTTTCCTCCCTTGTCGTTCCCCAGGTCGATGCACGACATTCATCATCCTCCAACTCTCACGCAAGGCGATCTTTGGCATTCAAGAACAGAGCTCCTGATGACATTCTAGGTGGTCTTGGTGCGCATTTTCTGTCGTTATTTAGTTTGGGTGATGTTCTAATGAGCTGGTTCTCAGGTGGCATATTGAGTGGAATTGGAAGTGGACTTGCTATCAATACCCCAACGCCCTCTGCGTCCAGCAGTCCAACAGTCTCGTCCCCAAGCACTGGCACGCTTACTAGAAGCTCTAGCCCCTCAGCATCTGCGTCACCGACCAGCTCATCATGCATTGGGCTCTTGGGGCTAGGTTGTGATCCGCCCATGACTACCCTGTCTAGCTCGCCAACATCAATTTCTACCGGGACTGCTGCATCATCCAACTCCAACCCGTCATCCACCACAACGTCATCCTGCGACGGACTCCTTGGTTTGGGGATTGGTTGTTCACCTCCCTCGTCATCTCCCACTACGCCTGCAAGTTCTGGTTCAGTTGCCACCAGTTCGGCAGCACCTGCTACAACATCATCTTGTAATGGACTGCTTGGTTTGGGGATTGGTTGCTCACCTCCCTCGTCATCTCCCACGTCGAGCCAACCAGCTTTGAGCACGCTTGCAAGTTCTGGTTCAGTTGCCACCAGTTCGGCGGCTCCTGCTACAGCATCATCTTGTAATGGACTGCTTGGTTTGGGGATTGGTTGTCCACCTCCCTCGTCATCTCCCACTTCGAGCCAACCAGCTTTGAGCACGCTTGCAAGTTCTGGTTCAGTTGCCACCAGTTCGGCAGCTCCCGCTACAACGTCATCTTGCGATGGACTTCTTGGTCTGGGGATTGGTTGCTCACCTCCCTCTTCGACCCAACCAGTCTCAAGCGTGCCTGTAAGTACTGGTTCTGCTGTCTTGAGCTCGGCAGCTCCCGCCACAACGTCGTCTTGTGATGGACTTCTTGGTCTTGGTCTTGGTTGTCCACCTCCCTCTTCATCTCCTAGCGCGCCTGTAAGTTCTGCTGTCTTAAGTTCGGCAGCTCCCGCCACAACGTCTTGTGATGGATTACTTGGTTTGGGGATTGGTTGTTCAGCTCCCTCATCATTTCCCGCTTCGAGCCAACCAACTTCAAGCCTACCTGTAAGTTCTGCTGTCTTGAGTTCGGCAGCTCCCGCCACAACGCCTTGTGATGGATTACTTGGTTTGGGGATTGGTTGTCCACCTCCCACTTCGACATCTACCACTTCAAGCCAACCAGCTTCAAGCCCGTCCGTAACACCTACTTATCCTACCACTGGTCCGGTCGCTTCCACCACGCCGTCGTCGTCGTGTGATGGGCTACTTGGCCTTGGCCTTGGTTGCCCACCTCCCACTTCAACATCTACCACTTTAAGCCAGCCAGCTTCAAGCCCGCCCGTGACTTCTGCTTATCCTTCGGTTGCTTCCACCACACCGTCGTCGTCGTGTGATGGGTTACTTGGCATTGGTATTGGTTGTCCCCTTCCCACCTCATCATCTACTACTTCAAGCCAGCTACCTTTGACTTCGCCTGTAACTTCTGGTACTCCTATCACCACTTCGGTTGCTTCTACCTCAGCATCATCATCTTCGTCGACAACCGCTGATTGCACTGGGGCCCTGGGTCTCGGAATTGGTTGCACTCCATCATCCACGTCTGGTACAGTGTAAATTTCAATCCTATCGTGCTTGAGACTGTTTGATCATATCCGTTGCAGGACTACTACTACTGCTACTGCTATCACGATTGGCACGAGTTCGAGCAATGGCATGTCCACAGCATCTACTTCATCGACTATCATCAACTTTCCAAATAGTACGACCATGAGCAGCACTGGCACCCTTAATGAGACATCCACATTATCTTTGTCAAGTACCTATGTACTTCCCACCACGAATACCAACTATCAGTACCTGTCTACGGTCTCATCTCTGCTGGTCAATACCGCCACGCCCACACCAACAGCCTCCCCAACCATTTCAAATCCTGACATCCCAACGACGACGGTCTCGCTTGCATCCGCTCCGCCGGCCAGTCAGCCTTCTGCAGCACCGATTCCGACGTATCTCCCATCGGCTATTATGCCACAGCCTACGCTCAATGTCCAAAATGTGCCAACTACTGACACTCTGATCAGCGTGTTGTTCAATCAGTCCCTTAACTGGAAGTGGGTTGCAACGAATTCGGATACCCAAGGACAGATATTCGAGTACTTCCCCTCGATAATTGCGACAGCACTTGGAATTGATTGTACGTGCTCCCAACCTCACAAAGTGCATTCGTACTGAAACTGTATTCCAGCTTCCCAGGTACAAAGCTACGAGCTGCTTGTCTACGAACCCTCATCGTACACCGGCATTCAAGACGTCGAACTGCTAAGTACCCTCTGGCAGGGTTATATCCCTAATGACCAAGTCTCCACACTCGCTTCGCTTATCTCCAACAAAAAGTCCTCGTTCTATACCGGACAAGAAGGCAGTATACCCGCATCGCTCGCCCAATGTGTTGATCCCACTCTTGCACTGTCGTCCATATCAGGTCCCACTCCTGGCGGCAGCAGCACCAGCAGTAGTTCAAATTCTTCCCAAGTCCGCGAGGACGCGATTATCGGTGTCGTAACGTCGCTTGGTGCCATCGCACTCATCATCCTTGCAATCGTCGCTTATCGGTACTTCAAGCGCCGAAAAGAGGTCGCACATCGCCGTCTCTCTGAAAACGTCGGTGATCCTGCAGGTGTACGCCCTGATGGTCAGGATTTTGATCGGGATAGTATCGGCGGCCAGCGGAGGCGGAGCTTTTACTACGCAGAAGACAGTTTACGTGGATACCAAGGTGTCCGGGGTGGTGATGATGATGGCTATGAGCGCCATGTCTCTCCTCCCGTCATGAGGGAGCGCCGTCATCTAAACCCTGGAGCTATTTCCGCTCCCATTCTGCAAGAGAGCAGTATGAACTGGTGAAGAGGAAGCATTCTCCCAGCTACTCAGGGTGTTGTGGTCACAGCAATACACAATTTTGAACACCCGTTCGGTTTGAAGTTGTTTGTATAGTTTTCGCTGTGGTGAGTTTGTATCGTGGAGCCTGCCATTTGTTACAGCCCACGATCCTTTTCACAAGTAATTACTTCTCGTCACGGGCTGGCCTGCACCTTCTGATGGCAGTATACAGCATATATCCTTTGTGTACCGTCTGGACATGCTTTTTACGATTCGTTTTTACTGATACCCCGGGTCAAGATTTTTTTTGTTTTCTAAATAGGTGTTAACTGTTGATGTTGATGGACTTCGAGCAGTGACTACTGTCATGCATGTAGACTGAGTTGTAAGCAAGGATACTTTGAGCTTGAGCGTTTGAGCTTGAAAGGCCGATCGTTGCGATGCAGCGTGCGCATGTAACTGCCTTCCTGATGAAGGCACTGCTGATCCGGGGGCTCAATAATTCATGCCGCGGCGTCGTGCAACATGGATGATCATCTTGCTCACGGATGGTAAGGGCAATGCAAACATTTAAGTTAGATGTGAATACCTTGTCAGTCAACACAATTCACCTTTGATATTATCCGTGATCGATCTTTTCTGGCTTCTATCATGGAGAGTTCATCAATTTGGCGCCTTCCCGAAGTTTCCAAGGCAGCACGGATGAGCATGAGGGAACTTCCCGCAATCCCAACAAGTCCACTCAGGCCGGACACTCCCCCTTCAATTGCAAGAGACTTCTGGATACCCCAAGTCTCCGGAGATGGTCAGGTATGGCTTTTCTTGTCTTCAGTGCTCAGTTTCAGGTGACTACTCTTTTTGTATGTAGATTTACTATGCCAACACAGTCACTGGGCAACTATCTCGTGATCTACCGTTCGACGTGGAGGATGAGACGTTTGATTGTGATCTTGCGGGCTTAACTTCATCACAATCGAGCTCTCGTGCTGGCACTGGCGCAGGTCTCGGATTTTCTTATGGGGATGTAAACGCTCTATCCATCGTGAACAATCCTTCTCAATACCAGTCGATTCCAGTGGAGCCCGCCCGGCCACCCTACACGTCATTATCTCATTACCCAAATAACCTAGCTGGTGCTCTGACGGCTCCCGTAAAACCATCTTCGCTATCCCTTGTCACAGACCTTCCACCAGGCCGCAACCGTGCCCAGACAGACTCTTCTGCGCTTTCTTTGAATCGTCACACGTACCGCGTTCCCAGCGATCTCTCTAGTCTGCCGAATGACCAAGTACTAAAGAGGAGTTTTACTACGCGGGAGAACTCATATACTAGTCATCAGATGTTTTTGTCTATGGATCAACATCCTCGTATCTTCTCGTACTCTCACCGTCCGCATATGGCTAGAAAGGGCTCTCGATTAAAGGAAGCTGCCGCATTATCCATACTCCCCCAAGTCCATGAACTTCCGCCAGACGAAGATCCTTCTCACCTCTTGACTGTAATACCATCTCTGGAGGAAGTACTTTCTCCTCGTCCACCAGAGCTCATTTCTGAATTGCTAGATCGGTCTCAACATGCTATTCGCTCTGTGATCACTCACCTGCAGCAGTTTGGAATCCCTCGCATTGCAGATGATGAAGTCATTGTCGATCGCCTCATCAGCACCACTATCGCTTCAGTTCGTGATTTACTCTACGTCTCTGGCCCTTCTTTCGGTCAAATACCAAGTCATCTTGTTCCGAAAGGATCATCAGATCAACAGAGCACGAGCACTGCGTCGCATACATTACTTGTTCCTGCACAGCGTCGAGCTATTGCGACACTCTCGAAGTTTCTACTCTCTGCGAGAGCGATCTTGAATGACGGTCCTTGGAGCCCAGGTGACAGCATCGGCAACCTTGCAACTGATGCCACAGAACTTGAGCGCTCTGTTGTCGATTTCGTGTCCATCACGCAAAGTTGTCGTTGTGATGAGTGGGATTGCGACAAGGCTCCGAGACACTTGCAGGGTTACTTCTCAGCACCACATGCAGGATTTGGGAAGGCTGGGGCTGGGGCTGCTGGAGCTTGGAAAGGATTTGGTTGGGTCACCATCGATGGCAATGAGGAGGCTCCCCGGCGGAGCTTGGACAGCGCAGTCTTAAATGACATCGTGGGGCTTGTATTGCAGGTACAAGACAAATCAAATGAATTCGTTGAAAGCTTACGCGCTTCTGCACCTGGTGAGCAAAGTCCTGCAAGTTTGCGTTCTTCGGTTGAAAATCAGCTTTCGCAGCCGGCGTGGTAACGTCAGCAGGCTTACGAATGATGAATCAATTGTCATCCCTCCTCCTCCACATTGGCGACCTGCATATCGCTCGGCATGTCGACATCGAACCGGTGGATCAGGCGGAACTCAGCGATGGTGCTCGATATCTCCGGACCGCTGAGAAAGCCAGGGTCCTCGTACGGTCGTTCGAAGCCACTACTCAGGCTGTATACGATGACGGCGCCGCACTACTCACTACTACCCAGAGGATCCGGCATGTAGAAGAATCCGAAACATGGCGTGGTCGGGACGAACATTATGATACCCTCGAGGCGCTGAACTCCTCATTAGACTTTAATCTTCAGGTTCTGCGACAGACTCTAGAAAGTCTTCTTGTCATCGTGCAGGAACAGACAGATATTCTTGAACGGAGCAACAAGAGCCCCATTGAGTGGCGTATGTCACAACGTAGCCTCATTACAGCAATGTTGGCCGAAGAGGCACTTAACGGCACGAATAACGACCTCTACAATACGAACGATGACGAAGCAGATGATATCCTTAGGAATATTGCAAGTAGCGATAATGCTACGCCTACAGCTGAAATACCGGGTCCGCATGTAATAAACGGACAACCACCCCTAATATCCGATACAGTACCATGGGCTGACTATGAAGGCTAGTATTATTATGTTTCATAACTATTGGCATAATTTAACTTGAAGCACAGATCTTCGCATAATAAGAACACCCCCTCGACAAGATAAGATCAGGGCGTTTTTTGGTGATGATGCGCCTTCTCACTATCTCATTACCCTTAATGCCGAAACAAAACCTTGGTATCTGAGACCGACGTACAATCCTAATGATGTGCTAGTCGACCCCGATGGAACTACGCGAGGCGGAACCGTTGCAGGCCTAGTTGAGCGGCTAACCGCTCACGAGTATGCTGGTATGTGAGATTCCGCCAGTATATCACCATTTCTCTTGAATCCAGATTACAGATCCCAAGTTTAGCAAGGCTTTTCTGATGACTTACAAGACCTTCACTACTCTTGATGAATTGTTTAGGTTGTTGGTGGAACGCTTCTGGATACAGCCTCCAGACGGACTAAACTCCCCGGAGCTGGTGGAGTGGCGGAAGCTCAAGCGGCAGATTATTCGTATCAGGTGAGTCACGTCATTGTTTCAGACCTTGTAGCTGAACTATTTTAGGGTCATTAATACGATTAAGTCAATGGTTCAAGATGACGATGTGTTAGAGAGAGACGACGCATACATCCTCGACCGTATGATGAAATTCGTTTCGCATGATGAAGTCATCAATCTACCCGCAGCAAAGCAGCTTATGGTGATTATTAAACGTGCTGTACGTGCTGGATCAACGTCGGGGTTGTACTATCTGAATTATAGAATAGCAGCGAGGGCGTGATCCGAACAAAGTGACGATTAGCACGGCTCTGGATCCGCCACCTCCGCCAATAGTCCCTAAACGGATGGAGCTACTTGACATCGATGCCTTGGAACTGGCAAGGCAATTGACCATCACAGAAAGTCAGTTATATCAGAAGATTCGACCTTCTGAATGCCTTTTGCGGTCCAAGGAATCGAAAACTGACCACCACGACAACATCGCAAACTTCATTCGCCGTAGCAACAGAGTAAGTTTGCTACCTGCACTCGGTTCGCGGGTTCACAGATACCCCTATTTAGGTAGCTAACTGGGTTGCATATGCCATCCTGTGTAAAGACGAACCTCGCAGACGCGCTTCCATCATGAAACATTTCATCAGTGTCGCTGATGTTTGTTTATTTTGCTAAACTTCAGTGCTCTACTAATGTCTTTCCTATAGCGCTGCAGGCACATTCAGAATTTTTCGACCATGTTAGCCATCGTGTCTGGCCTAAACTCGTCACCTATCCGTCGGCTTAAGCGCTCTTGGGAGCAAGTAGGCACCAGATACATGTCCCAATTGGAAACATGCGAGACAACAATCAATTCTTACAAGACGTTTAACATCTATCGACACGCCCTTGCGAAAGTTTCCCCGCCGTGTCTTCCGTTCGTTGGTATGTAGTCGACGCCATATCTGTAAACACGAAAATTGATCCCCAAACAGGTGTGTTTCTTACTGCCCTGACACATATTCAAGACGGCAGTAAGGATTACCTTCCAAACAACTTGGTGAATTTCCGAAAACGCCAGAAGGCTTCAGAGGTAATCCAAGACCTTCAACGCTGGCAGACTCAGCCGCACAACTTCCATCCCCTCCCAACTGTTCTTGTTTACTTGGATGACGCACTTGGACAGTTTGACGACAAAGATGTCAGCGATGTCTTCTGGCAGCTGAGCTTAGAAAGGGAGCCGCGCGAAAAGGAAGAAGAGAAACTTGCAAGAATGCTACATGAAAGCGGGTTCTTTTGAGCAATTACTCTACGATCCTGACACCTCATAGCACTACCGCTTATTAGACACGCAACTTCCCTCGCATTACTGTATCGTTGGGCACCGACTTGAACGTACCCATAGTATTGATAAGTTATCCCAATTACCGTTAGATGACAGTATCCCTCCAATGTATCTACCAGTCCAAGAATTTCAAGAGCTGAAACGTCGTGCAGTATAGCATGCTCATCAGGAAAACTCACCAATAGAAACCTAGACTAAGTATGTTGAATTTGATATAAGTGCATTGTTACAGTTCTATCTTTTCACTCTTCACTTTGTCACATGCTTACTCATCATTCCATAGTATTCTATTACATTCTATTATACAATCTCCCTTCTCATTTTCTCATTCATTGTTCATATTCAAGCTCCGCTCTAATACTCTTATATATACCTTACTTTCTATGTTCTATATCTTTTACTTGACCTATGCAGACCAGTATGATGCTCCAAAGCAAACTTTAATATTTGTGTGATACACAACATCAAGTGTGTGATACACTACTGAGTGCATGATACACTTTGCCTTGATTCTTGAAGACATTTTGTAGCTGCTTCTAGTAAATGGGCAGCCAAAGTCTTTGAAGCTGGGCTTGACAATCAAGTATTTTGTGAGATTGTCAGCTGTGCAAGCGACAAATTTTCGCTCATGATTGAAAGTACTTTGGGCTTTCTGATAGATTAATACAAGTCTATTCATGTGGATCTGTGGGGAACAGACATCAGTGAAAAGTGGGGCTGCGGGGTAGTACTACATAGCCTATGTTGTGTGAATAGTCAGGTAGCTACCCCCCCCCACTCTCAAACACCTGGTAGCACGGAGTTGTTACAATATAGCTTGTGATAGTGCTTGGTGGCTGCTGAGTCCAGTACCTGCATTGCAGAATTAGGTTAATGTAGTACTCTATAGGATAAACCATATGTGTGGTCATCAGCAGTATAAGTCTATAGTTGACAGTAATTCCACACAGTCGCTCGAACCATTGACAAACCGTCAAAATAGCATGCATTGGCTGATATAATAATGTACACTACTACTACTCATCATCCTCATCATCACTTGATACACCCCTGCATTCATTGTACTCCTCGATCGCAGCCTCGAATGCACTACGAGCCATCGTGCGGCCAATTTCATGACCAAGTGGGTCAGCCTTTGAGTAAATGCTGAAGAATGAAGGTAAGATGAATTAATAAGGCCAAGGACGAAGACATACCGGCCATTATCATGCAGACATGACAAAAGCTTGGGTAGCAGGCCTTGAGCCTTGGTGTGTTCATCAAAGTCTGCGAGGTTGTTGAGATGTTCGTTGAGCACATCCTGATACTCATCCACAGTGAACATCTTGTTCGTTTGAGCTCCACTGCTCCACTCATCGATGCAACTTTCAATCTGATGGCAATCAGCACTCAATCCCCACAGCAAAAAAAAACGGTACCGCAGTCAAAAGCAATGCAAAGGCAACCTCTGGGAATGGTTTGTAGAACTCGGGATATAGCACACCTTCATCTTTCTTGTCGCGGAACCATATGGTGTTGACCCCCTTCTGGATAATCTTGGCACTGTATAAGCCTTTGTTACCATCAGGGGAGCGAGTCTAAAAAAATCATGTTGAGCAAACACACGGCAACGTAAATAGGTACTTGCCTTATAAACGAAGGCAAAATCCTTCTTGAGTTCTCGTGCAAGCATGATGTTGCGATCGATGACAGATTGCTTGGTGCTCGTCTCGAACCTGTACTCATCTGCAACATATGGCCGGACCTTAGTCTTGACTTCACCACGAAGGTGGGAACCTCGCGAAGTGATCTAGGTAACACATTAGAGATAGCATGTTCACGATAAAAATCACTGACCATTTTTAAAATCTCCGCATCATAAGCAACTTGAGTATGTAGCCTCTTACATGCTTCATTCCATGCTAACTTGGCCCACGTCACCTCCTGCATACGGTCAGGCATGGGACCCTCTGTGCAGAGACGGCCACGATAGAGTGCCCATGCCATGCCGAAGATGGTGCGAACAGATGGTTCATAATCAGCAGCCTTCGGCCGTCCCTTACTTTCCTGTATCTTGACAGCCTTCCGCACTGGCTCGCTGTTGTCGTCACCATCAGATGCTCCACAGCGACGTTTGCCCACACATTCGATGCTGGGGGATGGGGACCTACTACCTTCATCACCAATATAGTTGTTGTTGTCAGCCACGAGCGAGTCATTACCCTGGTCCCCATCCATGTTGAAGTCGACCAAGCCTTCAATAGCTTCGTCGAATAGGGCCTCATCAGTTGGGCTAGGAGAGCGAGTCATAGTATTGTTGAGGCTCGAACTAGGGTGGGGACCACCTGCAATTGAGTAGACATAGTAGGCTGCTATTAAATTCAGCACAATTTAAATAAATACAGGTACTCACCTCGAGACAATGCCGCAACCGGACTCATTGCTTGTTTGGCCAGCACAGCCTCACGCAGACGCAACAGCTCAGCAGCTTTTTCTGGTGTCAATGTGTTGAGACGTGGAGTCTTGTTCTAGTATTACTAGTCAACGAAAAAGCACAATGTTGTAAATAGACATACCAATGTGACCCGGTGTGGTGCGAGTGGCACTGTACTTTTCCGTGCAACCAAGTTCGGGTCCCTGGCAGGTGTTGACACAGTTTGACTTGTAAACTAATGGTGTGAGGGTCATTAAAATTGACTATTGACGAGAATATTAACAAACATACACCAGGATCGTCACTCGACAGCACTGTGGAGACTTGAGTGCGTCCAGTATTGTTCTTGTAAGCTTCGCGTTCGGCAGCCTTGCTTGCCTTCTGACGAGCCTTCTCTTGACGTTCATGGGCCTTATTGACCTGCTGGTGCTGGCGATTTTCTTTGTCCTTGTGAGTCTCAGCTTCGATTGAAGGTCAAATCAACATGACGTGAAAAAAATTGTAATATGAAGACTTACAGATATACTGAGCTCTCTCAGTAGGACGGCGATCACGACGGGCCACTGAACGTTCAACTGCAGACATTCTGTTGGAGAAGGAGGGGAGGAAGAAAGATCAACAAAGTTGACGACACGATAAGGTTTATTTGCAAGCAACATTCACTGATATGGCCCGAGAATCGTGATGGAGCCTGTCAGGATGTCAGTCTGAGACATGGGCTGATTTTGGCACAGAAACGCACTGAAACCACAGTAAAAATACAAAATATAGGCAGAATCTGGAAAAGAATCTACCTAAGTGCCTTCAGTCAGAACTTCGAGTCTTGAACAATGTCATACACCAGGCAGAAACCGCGCTGTAATTTCTGTCTCAAAGAGCTCAGCCGACACAAAGATGTAACCTTACACATCCAAAACACTCCGACATGTCGCCAACAATGGGACCTCATGGTCTCGCATCAAAACACCAGGTGTTCAGAACAGGTCGACAGCCAATCTAGCACATCAGATACATTGACACCCCAAGACTATGAATATGACATACCCGAAGATGTCGACTATGAATTTCCGCACAGATCAAGATACGAGCCAGAGGACATAGAGTCTTTGATGAATTCTGGCCCCCAATCCAAACGTGCAAGAATGGAGGAGGTAGCAGATGAAGAAGAGCCGACACGATTTGCCAAGGTCTTCCCGCGCCCAGTTGCAGATGTTTTGGGGGTCGGACAGACTGTGTTTGAAGAAATTCAGGAGTCTCAGGTTGACATGGGTCTGGAGAAAAATCCATGGGCACCTTTTGATGATGAATATGAGTGGGGCCTCGCAGAATGGCTGTCGAAGAGAGTCAACAAGACTGCGACCGATGAATTCCTTAAACTGGCCATTGTAAGTCTCCGAAATGTCTTGGCATCTTCCGTCACAGACAAAACCACCTATCTAGACGAAAAATTGCACTCAGCCAAGCTTTACGAGCAACTATACATTTCAAAAGAAACTTGATAAACTACCTACAGGTCCTTGATGGACTTGTGAAATAGTCACGTCAACAGGAGATCGAGTGGGTGGAGATCGGAAGCCATTAACAGAACAACATGAACTTTGGCGGTGTGACCCTGTGGAGTGTGTGCGTGATTTGATTGGTAATCCCGCATTCAAGGATTACCTTTCATATGTTCCCGAGCAAGTTTTTGCTGATCCGCAAGGGAAGACGCAGGTATATGATGAGATGTGGACTGGTGATTGGTGGTGGAACATGCAAGTAAGTGAGGCAAATGTGTGAGATTGAATGATAACCAATTGTGACATTAGGAACGCCTACCTTCAGGTGCCGTTGTTGCTCCAGTAATACTCGCATCCGACAAAACAAATCTTACTCGTTTTCGTGGCGATAAAGCTGCATGGCCAATATATTTGACCATCGGAAATATCAAAAAGGACATTCGCCGTCAGCCTTCTAAGCATGCAACAGTGCTGATAGGATACTTACCAATATCAAAGATGCTGCATTTCAAGGATGACGAAGGACGGCAGATTGCTCATTATCGTCTCTTTCATAACTGTATGCGGTTGGTGACAAAGCCACTTGTCGATGCCGGCCGTCACGGAGTGGATATGATATGTGCTGATAGGAATATCCGATGCATTCATCCTATTCTTGCAGCATATATTGCAGATCATCCCGAGCAATGCCTGATTGCCTGCTGTAAAGAAAACCACTGCCCTCGTTGTGTTGTAGGAACGAAACATCACGGAGACCACTTCGACTCACCTCTTCGAGATGTCAATGAGACTCGAGCAACTCTCGAATGCCATAAAAACGGCGAAGACCCTCACCTTTTTGAAGATCACAGTCTTCGCGCGATATATTTTCCGTTCTGGTCACATCTTCCACACACCGACATTTTCATGTATATCACTCCGGATATTCTACACCAGTTACACAAGGGTGTTTTCAAAGACCACATTGTGAGCTGGTGTTCTACAATCATCTCTGACGCAGAGTTCGACACACATTTTCAAGCTATGTCCGATTTTCATGGTCTCCGTCACTTCAAACGGGGAATTTCAACTGTCTCTCAGTGGACTTGCACGGAGCATAAAGAGATGCAGCGCGTTGTCTTAGGCGTCATCGCTGGTGCTGTTGAACCCCGTGTGTTCCGGGCTGCACGTGCTGTTCTCGACTTTATTTACTATGCTCAATACCAAGCTCACACAGACACGACTCTTGCGCGGATGCAGGAAGCACTGGATGTGTTTCACGTGAACAAAGATGTTTTTGTCGAGCTCAGGCTTCATCAACACTTCAACATTCCCAAGGTTCACTCAATGCGCCACTATGTGCAGTCCATCCGAGCGTTGGGCAGCGCAGATGGTTTCAACTCGGAGAGCCCCGAACGCTTGCATATCGACTATGCAAAGGATGCTTACCAGGCAAGCAGCAAAGTAGATTATATCGCGCAAATGACTCATTGGCTCGAACTTCAAGAAGCCGTCTTTCGACATGGCATGTTCCTCAATTGGGTCGCATCAAAAGGTGGACTCGGCGAACCTCTCGACTCAGATTTGCTCGAAGACGAGGATGAGGAACCGACATTCGCAGATTCAGACATCATCCCATCAGGACTGCTGGCATCGCATGGTTACCATGTTGCCAAGAGTTGCCCGTTTCTCGCCGTCTCCGTGTCTCGCCTGCAAACAGATTTTGGCACCATCGACTTCATCCCCACCCTTCAAACATTCCTCACCCATCACTTTCCCCATTCCTCTATTTCTGCGAGCCAGTATGACCAGTTTGACTTATTTAAATCGGTTTCACTTCGGCTCCCTCGACGAGACCACATTAGTGACCTCAAGCGGCTGAATCGAGTTCGTGCTCATCCAGCTATTCCCAATCGCGATTGCCGCAAGCCACCTTCACCTGCACACTTTGATGTGGCGTTTGTAGTCGAGGATCACCAGCTATGGGAGAGTGGTACAGGCTTGGATGGTATGTCCAAATCACTCTCATTGTTGTGGGCCCATGATGCTGATACCTTGGCCACAGGCTTGCGGCTCGCACAGATACGTGCAATTTTCAAATTGCCCTCTCACTACGGGAAATTTCCTCATCCATTGGCATATGTCGAATGGTTTCGACCTCTGCGCGATCCGGAACCTGCGACCAACCTTTATCGACTTGCACGTTCGACTCGTAACCAATGGCGTTTCGCATCCGTCATCAGTGTTCGAGACCTTCTGCAAGCAGCACACCTGATGCCCAGGTTTGGATCGAGTAAGGTAGATGTATCATGGATCAACGGCGATGTTCTTGAGCTCGCTGACGAGTTTTATGTTAACCCTTACATTAATTTTCACATTTTTGATACTATACAGCACTTGTACTAGCGGTCACGCACAGCTTGTTGTTCATGTAGTTGCATTGCTATACATGGCCCTTCGCATCGACGACTAGACTACCTACAGCTATGGAACACAAGGGTATGTCTACTGTTGCTCAGGTGTTACATGACTGTCTACCCTGGGCTACTGAGTCTCCCAGTCACGACGTAGCGTTGGCGTGGCGCTACGACCCGAATTGCTTTTTCCAGATGGATACTCTCAGTCGTTGTGTGTGAATGCAAACATCTTTGGTATATTTACCTGTGGGGAACAGATACTCTATGCAGCATAACTAAAAGTAAAAGTACAAATGAATATAGAGTGTCTTACCTCAGTCATTGCATGTGAATGCAAACATCTGAGGTTCGAGTACAGAAACTTTGTAAACTAATAACAAATAAGGAAGTGAGACTGTAACAATGAGATATAGGGCACTGGCCCAAGCAATCAAAGGATTCAGCAAGTACAAAGGAAAATCAATAGACAAGGGCTGTATAATGGAAACATATGTGTCACTGAACATATCAAACGAAACAAGAGCAGACAATGATGTGCTTTGGCTGTGGGTGCGCTTGCTTATTCCAACACTTCACAATGAATAATATGGACACCCATTGGAGCCTGTTCCACTACAAACTACTTCTAGTCCTCCTCAGATCTCTTGTGCTTTGTGCAAGTTCCTGCATGCACTATAGCAGTGGTGGTCAGTTCCAGTTCTGAACTGCAGTTCAAACCTGACAGTCTGATTCAAAGTCATCAGGGGGAACTGAACCATTCAAGTGAGTTCGATGTAGAGACTCATGCCTCTCATGGTCTGATATGGCAGTTTCCACTAGGGAGTACATTGCATGAACTTGCAGCACCACTTTGTGTGCTATCCGCAGCTATCCCTATATGAGGCACAGCTTTCCCGCGCCATGCACGCACACTTCCCATACTTCACGATGTATATGCACGCACACTTTCCTGCGCTTGAGTGCCCTATAGTGCCAGCCATCTAGAAGCATCCACCCACTGTCCACCAAGCCCTCTAGTGCGTATATTTCCATTTCTCTTATTAGCATATTGTTCCACCTTTATTTTTATCATGGACCCTTACTTACATATATCTTTACATACCTACTCGGTAGTGCTTCAGCTCCGCATGACAGCGCTTAGGCCTATATAAGCGCCAGCAGTACATACCATTAGGGACACTTCACTTTCCACCTGACTTTACCCAACTTTACCTACCACTTACTACCTAGAAAATTGCAGTTGGAATCTATTCCTTGACACCTTGCATGTTACAGTAACATGGCATGAGCCCCCAGCTACCAATATGCCCTCTGCCACCTTACACGGCAATGACATGATACCCGGGCCTTTGGGCCTTGATGATAGATGATGATAAGAAAGAGAAGCCTGGAAGATACCGGCTTAGATAAGCAGTCTGGACCGCATATGATGACATAGGTCTAGAAGACCTATTTATGTTATCAAGATAGAAGGCAAGCCTCATGGTTGCCTCATGCACTGATAGAAGGACGCCTCGTGGTCCTTATCCCAGATAGAAGCCTGCCTCATGCATGATATCTCTGACTCGATAGATAAGCAGATTAGAACCCAGCTTCAAGCTGAGCTTAGATATGATAGAGTAGTCTTATATAAGGTCGAAGATTAAAGTAGATGTTCCTTACTTTAATCTTACTGGGTTTTACCTTGAACTCCTTGTCTTGCTAAAGCTACCTGCTTGACATCTAATCCGCACCTTCAGAAGGACTTGAGACCCCTTCTGCCTGTAACCGCTACCATCGCTCGCCTCTGCTAGCGTACACAACTCTTGCTTGTCTGTAAGAGCTGACCTTGGACTCTCAGCATGAGGTATCACTGTCGTGATCGTCGCTGTTAGAATCATCCCAGTCCGCACACGACTCACCATTATAACATTGCACTCTCATCTCTTGTCTAGTATCTCATTATCACTTAAGCAAGCTTACTCTTACTCTCTCTCACTTCCGCATACACACGTGTACTTTCCTGCGCTTCGTGCAGCACGTGAGTGTGTTCCCACACCTCCATGCCTTGCGCGCACCTGCACTTTCTCGTGCTTCACTTCAGCGCATACTTCTAGATCCTTGCTGCACTCACTTCCCCTTTAGGGTTGAATGCACTTATTGCCACAAGCATAGCAGACTAGGCAATGCGCGACCTTACAACATTTACAGATACAATCAGAAGCCTTGTTCACACCTCGCTGTATTAAAGTTTCTACATCGATCATGATGGTTCATGGTTCAAGGACTTGCAGAATTCTTGAACCTATTCTGAACCTCTTTGAACTGATGTAGGGAATGATTCTTGGCTGGGCTTGCAGAGACTGTTTTACCTATAGTTATGTTTGCACCTTAGCTTACATAATGAAGTCATCTTTTCACCAGTTTTACTATGAGTCTGAGAGATCAGCAGTTTTCTATCATATTTCCTCTCCTCTGAGCCTTGAGCCTGGTCCAGAAACCCTTTAGGGTCGAATAGCAGCTAGGTTCTGCAAGACCCAACACATTGTTCAGTATACACCATCTGAATTGTTGTACCCATACCGATTGTTGTGCACATGCCACAGATGCAACTGAAAAAATCCAAGAGGTATGTCTGTTATCACAAAGGACACCAGCTTGTCTAATTAGACTGGTGTAAACTTGAGTAAGTAGCCAGCAAGTTCACTCTGCAGGGCTTGCCAGTGAGACTGAATACCAGACCTAAATCCAGCTTAGGCTTGTATCTCATGTCATAGGGAGCTTTGTCTGCTATAGCATTGAATTTTTTCACTTTCTAACAAGTAGATATCACCTTTTGAAAGGACCACTCACCTTCTTCATTTCTGCCTCTCGCCATTCAGTGGCACTCACCACAGCTTGAAATCACTGATTCTAGTTTTGAAAGCTGTGTCTGTCTATTATGTTCTCAACTGGAAGGTCACCTACATCTAGTTCTCTGGTGCATCAATCAATTTCTTTGTCTTTTTTCATTTAGTTCTTGGTTCAGGTTCTTCTTGAACCAGAACAGGACTATTATCAGACTGAACTGACTTGGGAGAACTTGGCCAGCCTCATCCATCACTATCGTTGAGTTGCTTACATTTTTCAAGTGTTCTTCATCATATCTCCATGCTCCCTGACTTTGGAAAGCCCCAACCATTCAATATAATCTTTGCATGGTATCTGTGACTCTGATAGCCTATCTGTCCCTCATCCATATTAATACCCAGCCTCAGGATTATTTTATTGGCGACATGAACATTTTCTGTCTAATCTCTCATGCCCTACTGCCATTTCTTGGTATCTTTTTTAGTATAATTATAGACTTTTGTTGCCCTATACCTTGCCACCCTGACCAAACTCTTCCCACTGTAATACTAAGTTTTGGAATACTACACTTATGGGCTGTATTGCACACTTTGATATGTCATGTTGTGCACTCTGTTGTTGTGTGTCACACACTCTATGTTGTATCACACACTCAATTGTTATGTATCATGCACTCAGTAGTGTATCATGCAAATATTAAAGTTTGCTTTGGAGTGTCATAGACAAGGGCCTGCTACTTGTATTCAGAACTTTGACTTTGACTTTGATCCTTGAAATGTTAAGATGTCTAAACAATGCTGAGTATGACAAAAGATCAAATCATTACCTGTAACTGGTGTATGAATCCAGAACCAACATGTCTCACTCTGCCATCTGTCCACCAGGTTTTACCTGGGACAAAGGAAGACAAACTTTTGTCAAGACTGAAGATGATGACACCTAGACTCTTGCCAAGTAGTGATGTCTCAGCTCCAAGCTGCATTTTTCAGAAAATGAGCATAATATGCTAAATAAAATTCCTAAATTCATGAAAATATTTATGGACATAGATTGAGCCAAAAGCCAGGAGGAATCTAGGGAGAATTTTTACTGTGATACATCATTGTCTTGCTATGAAGCAGCTCAGCAAATGGCTTAAAATTCAAGTCATTTGCTGAGCTACTTCATAGCAAGACAATGATGCGTCACAGTACAAATTCCCCTTAGATGCCTCCTGGTTTTTGGCTCCATCTATGTCCATAAATATCTTCATGAATTTAGGAACTTTATTCAACATGTTATGCTCATTTTCTGAAAAATGCAGCTTAGAGCCGAGACATCACTATTGCCAAGTGGAGAGAGTACTATGATGGATTAGCGCCCCAAGGACAGCGCTAGAACTTTTGGACACAAGGCTATGAAACTATCCCTGCACCTGTCCAATCTACCCCCTACCCCATCCCTATCCCATCAAATAAAGAAACAGATGAAGAAGACATGCCTAAAGAAATTGGATCTATGCCTGAGATCTTCAATGGAGATACTCAGAAGGCAACTGGATGGTTCCTTCATATGGTGGTACACATGGCTCTCAACAGTGAGATCTATAACAAAGACAAGAAGAAGATTATTCTTGTCCTTAGTAGAATGATAAAAGGAGAAACAGCAAGGTAGGCAGAAGGAGAACTAAAGAAAGCCACCACTAGTGAAACTGACTTTGAAATATACAATGCATTTTCCAAACAATTCACTGATATATTTTACCCGAAGAACATTGTCGATACCACACTCTGTAGAATCACCACCCTTAAACAAACTGGCAGCATATCCATGTATGCATCTTTATTCCACACCATTCTTGCAGATACTGGCATCGAAGAAGAAGCCATGAAGATTCTCTTCTTCAGGAATAGACTTAAGTGTGAGCTAGTCTCTGCTATTTTAGCATTGGAGAATATCCCTACCACAATCGACAATTGGCTTAATAAAGCCCTTGATGTCAAAGTAAGAAGGATTTTCCTTTATCTACCATTACAAGGAAAGACTCATGACTCTTACATAATGGATGTGGATAGAATGGAGGCAGAAATAGATGATGATGGTGAGAAAAAAACAAGAAAGACTTACCTCATGCCACAAGAATAGCCTCTGCTTCAAATGTGGCAAGAAGGGGCTCACCAA